GGTTTGTCCGACGTTAATGGTGTTAGCATTAGATCCAACGTTAGTTTGGGCTCCTCCAACTTGAGTGTTAGATTGTCCTTGGTTGTTGTTCTGGGCTAATTCCTTGGAGTCAATCTTGTTTCCGGCGAAGATGTTCTGTGGAAGGTATTGAGCATAGCTTGGTTGTTGGGTGTAGGTTGGTTGTGGGTAGCTTGGAGCATATTTGGAGTCATATTGGGGAGCTGGGTATCCGGATCCCTTTCCTTGTCCAGCGTTGTTATTGGTTTGTCCAAGGTTGATGCTGTTTGAGTTAGATCCAACGTTGGTTTGAGCTCCTCCTACTTGAACGTTTTGTTGTCCCTGGGAAGAAGTTTGTGCTAAGTTTTGCATGTTGAACCTGTTTCCTAGAATATGGGCAATTTGATCTGGATAGACAGGATAAGTCTTGTAGCCGGCATCATCGAGAAGGCTGAGTGTGGGGCTACCTATTTGTAGTGGAGCATTTATGAGACCAACAAGACCAGCTTGAGTGAATGTATTTTTGTCTCTGTTATCTTCGGTATGGGTGTCTCCTCCTCCTTTGCCTTTTCCATAATCGTATTGTGGGGCTCCATATCCAGAACCTTGACCACCATTGTTGTTAGTTTGTCCGATGTTGATGGCATTTTGGTTTTGTCCAACATTGGTTTGAGCTCCTCCTTGTTGAACGCTGGATTGTCCTTGGTTGTTTCCCTGAGCTAATCCAGTATAATCAACCTTGTTTCCTGCGAAGATATTTTGTGGAATATATCCAGCTCCACTTCCGTAGCTTGGATAACTTGGTTGTTGTGGGTAGCTTGGAGCATACTTAGAGTCGTATTGTGGTGCTGGGTATCCTGATCCTTTTCCTCCTCCATTTTGATTGGTTTGTCCGATGTTGATGGCATTTTGGTTTTGTCCAACATTGGTTTGAGCTCCTCCTACTTGAACATTCTCCTGACCTTGAGAAGATGTCTGTCCTAAGTTCTGGATATTGAAGAGGTTGTTCTTAACAACATCTCCGGCTCCAGATCCTCCGTAGCTTGGAACTTGTGGGACATATGTGTTTGGTTGTGGGTAGCTTGGAACGTATTTGGAGTCATATTGTGGAGCTGGATAACCTGATCCTTTTCCTCCTCCGTTGTTGTTGGTCTGTCCAATGTTGATGGCGTTTTCGTTAGATCCGAAGTTAGTCTGGGCACCTCCAACTTGAGTGTTAGATTGACCTTGGTTGTTGTTCTGAGCTAATTCCTTGGAGTCAATCTTGTTTCCGGCGAAGATGTTCTGTGGAAGGTATTGAGCATAGCTAGGCTGTTGGGTGTATGTTGGTTGTGGGTAGCTTGGAACGTATTTGGAGTCATATTGTGGAGCTGGATATCCTGATCCCTTTCCTCCTCCGTTCTGATTGGTCTGCCCAATGTTGATAGCATTGGCGTTGGATCCAAAGTTAGTTTGTTCTCCTCCTACCTGAGTATTAGATTGTCCTTGTTGGTTGTTCTGAGCAAGTCCAGTGTAGTCAACCTTGTTACCGGCGAAGATGTTTTGTGGAAGGTATTGAGCATAGCTGGGTTGTTGTGGGTAGCTTGGAGCGTATTTAGAGTCGTATTGTGGGGCTCCATATCCAGAACCTTGACCACCGTTGTTGTTAGTTTGTCCGATGTTGATGGCATTTTGGTTTTGTCCAACATTGGTTTGTGCTCCTCCAATTTGAGCGCTGGATTGCCCTTGGTTGTTAGTTTGTCCTAAGTTTTGCATGTTGAAGAGATTGTTCTTGATAACATCTCCAGCTCCAGCTCCTCCGTAGCTTGGAACTTGTGGGACATAGGTGTTTGGTTGTGGGTAGCTTGG